CCCCTGCACCTCGCCGCGCGGGCCGGGCACCGGGAGGTCGCCGAGGCACGGCGCGGGCGTCCACGGACGCCGTCGCCGTCGTCGTCGTCGTCGTCGTTGTCGTCGGCGTCGTGGGCGGCGTCGGCGGCGGCGGCGGCATCGTCGTCGTCGTCATCGTCGTCGTCGTCGTTGTCGTCGGCGCTGGCGTCGGCGTCGGCGTCGGCGTTGGTGTCGGTGTTGTCGCGGCCGTCGTCGTCGTCGGCGTGGTCGGCGTGGTCGTCGTGGTGGTCCTCGTGACGTCGTGGTCGTCGTGGGCGTCGTCGCTGGCGTGGTCGTTTGTGGTCGTTTGTGGTCGTCGTGGTCGCCCGCTGTCGTAGTTGTTGCCGTGGTCGTCGTGGTCATGTTTGTCGTGATCGTCGCCGCACGCACGCCGACGCCAACGCGGATGAAGTGGATCGAAAAGGAGGAATACGAGGAGGAGAAGGAGCAGGACGAGGAAGTGGAGGATGACAAGGAGGAGGTCCAATTTAAACCCAAGACGCATTCACGATGTTGCAATAAACCTCCCTCGAATTTCCCTTTGCATAAGGCATTGAAGTCGTGCCTGAATGCCGTTCGTTCGTGAGACTACAACAGTGCGTCATAAACTGCGCCATAACGCCAGTCCTGGAATTTCAGCCATGCGAGTTTTTATTATGGTATAACTTTCGTGACGAATGCGCGCGGCTCTAAAGCGAGAGCCACATGTTGAGAAATAGCCGCCCTCTACATGCGAAAACGTGGCAAATTGTCAAGACGAGGGTGCCCGGCGCTCGGGCGAGAGTCGCATGGTGAAAACGGCCCGTCATCCATCCGTAAAGCTGCTACACAGTTTTAAGACGAATGTGCAGGGCGCAGAGGCGAGAGCAACATGTTTAATCGACCCGCCCTCCGTCCGTGAAGCTGCTGCGTGTGTTTGCGACGAACGTGCGCGGCGGTGAGGCGAGGGCCACATTTTGAAAACGACCCTCGCTCCATCCGTGAACTTGTTGAAATGCGTAACGCTTCGCGTACCCCCACCAGCCAAGGACTTCGTGGCGTTCGCTTCCCTGTGAGCGGCAGCGAGGCTCGCCTTCTGTTTGCCTCCCCCCTTGTTTGGTCTTGTATTTTTTCGCCTTCCTCTTCCTGTGCGTTAATTTAAGCCGTCGCCCCTGTGCTTCGCCCCTTGACGCCGCCCGACCTTTTCGCCGCGGTCGCGAGCACAAACATATCCCCACCAGCCCATCTTGAAACACACCGCCAGGGGAGCTGCCTTGATCAGGGAAGTGAAGAAGCATGCAGTGCAAAAGCCGCCGTGGAAGTGTTTCCTCGGATGTCTTTCGGAGCCATCTTGGGTCTTCCTTGAGGTCCTCGCGGAGGAACATTGGGCACGCTTGGATTTTTTTGGGGGGGGTCAAAGGGGCACTCTTGGGGCTCTTTTTTGGGGGGGTCTGGGAGGCCTCTTGAGGCAATCTTGGGTTCACTATTCAACACGGGGGTCGGAAATTCAGTTCCCCGCCTCGGAGGCTCAAATATGGCGGTTTGGGGCTGTTCTTGGGGCGCTCTTGGAGCATTCTTGGGCGCTCTTGGGGCCGTCGTGGAACCCTCTTGGATCACTTTTGGTGCTCTCTTGGGCCAACTAGGGGCCATTTCAGGCCTCCGAGGCCCGACGGAAGCGAAAAGGCGAGAAGACACAACTCATAAATAGGGGGGGGGGGGGCTTTCGAGGGCCCCTGGACTGCACGTGAAACCGCCTTGGGGCCGCTTTCAGGCCTCATGGATGTGTGCTGGAGGCTATCTCGAGCCATGCTGAGCTATCTTGGGCCATCTTGGAGGCCATTGTGGGGTGGCTGAGGCCCTCCTGGAGCCATTTTGGGCCGTCTTGGACGCTCTGACTACCCGCGGCCTCCCAGGCCCAGGGTAGGGTAAAGGGTCAAGCTAGCCAGCTCGAGCGAGTCAAGCATGGCATGCCCATTCCCATCCGCCCTCCCACAACATAAGAAACAGTGGTGGCACAACTGGGGGCTGCGCGGGCATTTCAGTGCGAGTGGGGGATACCCCAGGACACCGCATTGACGTCCGCGCGGGATGTGCGCCGCGTCCCATTCCCGCCACGCATTTCGCATCGTCGACGGCAAGACTGGCCATGTTGAGAGGAACCACGGACACGTTCCGCCCTCCCACAACATAAGAAATAATGTTGGCGCAACCGGGTGCTGGCGCGTAGTGGTAGTAGTAGTAGCAGTAGTGGTAGTAGTAGTAGTAGTAGTAGTAGTAGTAGTAGTAGTAGTAGTAGTAGTAGTAGTAGTAGTAGTAGTAGTAGTAGTAGTAGTAGTAGTAGTAGTAGTAGTAGTAGTAGTAGTAGTAGTAGTAGTAGTAGTAGTAGTAGTAGTAGTAGTAGTAGTAGTAGTAGTAGTAGTAGTAGTAGTAGTAGTAGTAGTAGTAGTAGTAGTAGTAGTAGTAGTAGTAGTAGTAGTAGTAGTAGTAGTAGTAGTAGTAGTAG